ATTTAAAACCCACGTGTTCAAAACTCATATCTTCTTCTTCTTCTTCTTTATTGTGTTATATTCTTCAGCGAAGTCAAGTCTCAAGAGCTTGGGCATTCAACAAGATAAGCTTTTCCAACTCCCTTCGGCTTGCCAGTTGAAGAACGGTGGCGTCAGTGATTGGTAGACGTCTGGATCGATAAGGAAGATTTATGCTTGTTCATTATTTGCATTATCCTTCAGCATCACTTGGTAGTTATATATTACCGAATTTCCCAAAGCTCACTCTTTTACTCTCTATTTCAGGTTAATTGATCAAGTACAGCTATCGACATCAATATAGGAGTTTCACCGGTGTTGCTTGCGGAGTACAGTACATGTGATTAGGGGTCATGTAGGTTTTATTATGTTTTTATATCCGAATCTAAAACTTGTTTTATTTCTTGATATTATTAAATTCTACTTTTAATATATAAATTGTTTTACGATTTCACACGATTTTAAAAATTTCATGTGTTATGCAATATATGCATGGGTCAATCACAAATTGAACAAATATGGACCAAATTAAATTTCTCCCCCCACTTAGTTATGTATTCAGGTTACAATTTCCTCCAACTCCTTTTCTTCTTTCTTCTTTGTTATTAATTAATTAATCAATCAATCACTAAATAGTCATATTTAGCTTGCCTAAAACGTTCCAAATTTCTTACGACAGCTGAGGCGCAGCCAAACAAACGACAAAGCAAGAAAAGAGATAAAAAAAAAAGGTGATGATCATAAAGCATTATATTGGCCCAAGCTTTTGTTGCTCTTCTTTTTGGATGAAAGATTTTTGTAACCCTACAATTTACAATCAATTGATAATAAGGGCGAGGTTCAAGACTGTAAAATGTTGGATTTTTATTCACGATGTTAGATTTTAAACCTTTACGATTCCTAAAATAATTTAATACATCATTCAACTAAACTAACTTATTGATGGTTAAGATTAATTCTCTATATACCATTAAACAATATATAACTTTCAAGTTTTAAGGTATATTTTTAGGAATAAATTGGGATTCACAATCTCCCCATAAAATCAACTAATCATTGTACTTAAAATTCATTTACTAATCCAAACTTTTTGTGGCTGTTAACACTAGCACCCCATTGAAAACCATTTAAGGCCACATTTAAAACAAATTAGTAAGCAAAAAGTGTTTTTTTTTTATTTAGGCATAGAGCAAATCCAAAGAGAGAGGGAAGATAAGAAGAAATTAAAAAGTAAATGCAACAACAAATTCGGACCCCATAAGTGATGTAAGCTAGACCAGGTTCCTAGAATTTATCATTTGGTTTAGTGACAAATCAAAATATATTTTTGAAAGTAAATACATACATATTATTAATAATTTGTTTTATATAGAGTGGACACATAAAATTTTAAGATAAATATAATAAATAATTAATATAAAAAATTTAAATTTTAAGGTGGACACAATAATATTTGGGTCCGCCGGTGTCTGGATTTACCCCACCACCGAATGCCATTGATTATGATGCTTGTCGTAATCTCCAGCAATAATTTATATGGAGCTCAACTGGCTCGGCCGAGGCCGGGGAGCCACAAGTTCCAGGGCACAATCCCTCGACCGAGGGGCGTTCAAGGAGTGGTTGGTTCCATCGCACGTACGTTATTTAATATCTACCGCCTCCTCCTTCACTCATAGTTCAAGGTTTCGTTGGTTCAATTATATGGGGGCATGTGTCAATGTCCATCTCCAAATCGAAAATTAATAAATAATTTCAAATGGTGTGTGGCCTTTCATGTTGAGCTGATATCAAGCAATAACTTGGATAGTGATCAATATGACACCTGGGAACCCCACGTTTCATATCTACCCGTCCTTTGCATAGATGATCAATTTTAGAAATCTCATCAAGGACCAAAATTAAGGATTCAAATATTAAGTTTGAGTATAATAGAAGAATCAAAATCATAATTCGGTCTTTTGTTCTCTTTTAACTATATATAAAAGTAGGACTAAATTATGTAAAAGTAAAGGATATTGATACTTCTCTATTGCGTAAAAAGAGGTGTATAGTTTAGGAGTGCTAATTGAATTTAGCAATTCGTAAGCGGTTTGAATTCGATTCGATCAATGTTTGATTTAGGTTAATTCGACTTAAAGTGGAATTCGAGTCGAAACCTTAACAAGTTGAATCAAAAGTGGCCTAATTTGACTCAATAAGTTCACAAGTAACTTGTTAAATTTTTTTTAATAATTTTGTAGGATATTATTTATGTTATTTCTAAGATTGATTATATATTGTTAAAAATTTTCAAGAATGATTGTAATATGTTAGTTTTGTGTACTTGTGGATTGTTACTTTGGCTGTAATATGTTATTTTAATGCATTTGTGGATTGTTACTTTGGTTATAATATGTTATTTTGGTATATTTGTGGATTATTACTTTGGAGTTTAAATATTGAAATTGTTTCACACACTATTTTGATCATTTTTTGTTAAATTTGTTAATTTATGTTAAGATTAAACTTTATATAGTATTACTAGATTTAACATATGTTTAAAAAATAAGATAAAATTCTGAAGAGCTTAATGCAGTGGCGGATCTATAAATATTTTGGAGGGTAAGCACAAAATTTTTTTTAAGATGGGCACCATAAGTAAAATATGTAACTAACTGAAGAAAATTCGAATTTCAAGGTGGGCACGTGCCCACCCTGAAGAAGTAGTGGAATCGCCACTGGGTTAATCAGTAACAAGTCAAATTGAACAATAATTTTTTTCATGATTAAAAATTTATTGAGCTTATAAAATATCAACTCGAATAATTTTTTAATCAAATCGAGCACTACCCAACTCATAATCAACTCATTTTACAAGTACTCTTAACATAATCTATACGAATATAAAAAATACATCTGACTCACAATAATATAATTACTTAAAAATACACAGAGAACAAAATCTAAACCACAATAATTCTAAATAAAATCATAAATGATTTATACATGATAAAGACTTAAATCTTATCATTTCAACAAGGCCTGCTTTAATACAAATATAAAGTAGCCAGGCAGGTCTGGCTGTGAAACTTTGATTGAGAAATAGAGAGAGGCGAGCCGTTTTTCATGATTAATTAATTCATTGAATGCATACCCTTTTATTACCCAAGATTTAAAGATGAGATCAAACACTCAAAAAAGTTGAATATAATACAAAGGAAAAGAGAAGAAGATTGATGTCGTCATGAAAATAAAAATAAGAAAAAGAAAAGAAAATCTTCATTTTGTCAATGTGAAATAGGAGAGTCATTGAGTAGGCAATGTAGTGTGGGGTATGGAGAAGTTAGATTTTGCTAAATTTTATGTATGATTGAAATTGGGGGGAGCCTAATGATTTGGTGGGTGAATATGATATACCTATCATGTGTCTAAAGTGCAAACTTTTACACCTGACATCAACAAAGTAGATTAGGGCTTTAATTAGAAATTAAAATCATAATCAATATAAATCTATTCGAGTCTCATTTACAATTTATTTGATCAGGGATTCATAAGTAGCACTTTCATCGGTTATAAAATATTCGATCACATCGAGTAACCTTAGTAGTGAAAGAGAATGTTATTCTTCATATATGATTCGGGTTTGAACAATTGTATCTGTAGCATGTGTGTTGTCAATAGACTAAGATACTATCTTATAATCATCTCAGATTATTCATAAAACAAAAATCATCACATGTTCGGACCTTATACATTGAATAGTATAGCAATGAATTTGGCATTCTCCTAAGATGTCCACCTAGCGTTCCATGACAAATAATTAGTCCCCCTCAATAATACATGATTAGTAGTATTGTTTATTTGCAGATCATATATACTGTCTTTGTCCTTTTTCTCATATAACTGCAAGAAGACTTGTAGGAGAAAAAAGGTTAAGATTCTCTTATGTGACACGAAACCCTTTGATATGAACACAGCTGCAATCAAACAACAGTAAATGGAATTTTCCATCGGAGAGCGTTTTCAAAGAGAAAGAGAAGCGTTTTTCATAGCTTCACGTGAATCGGGGCTTTTCCATGGACACCTTTGCTGTGTATCTGTAACGTAAATGAAATTCTGGTTTATGCTATCATGCAATTACAAGAAATTCATGGAAAAGAGGATACCTTTTCAGCACATGAAAACGGAGATATTCCATCAAATTTCAAGCTTAACAATAACACTTAAATGAACATTAATGGTTGGAATGAAAATTGTTAGAAAATAGTAATAATGTAAAATAAAATTATCAGCATTGTTTAGCATATAATACTAATTAAATAATACTAAAAATGGAATAATTTATTGTGTCGTAATAGATATTATTGTCTTAGAAGTAATTTTATCTGAATTGGTATAACATTTTGATTTACGTTGTCTCCAAGATTAACATAATCTTCTAAACCTTGAACATCTAAAATAAAAAGGTGGAACTTAATTGTGCTACTCTCTTTCAAACCTTGTACATTGGATATGAAGAAGTGAAAATCACTATTTACCTTAAATAAAAATAGAGATAATTCATGAAATTTGAAGCTTAACAAGAACACGTTGTAAATCTATAAAGCGATTTTCAGTGGTTAAGAGTGTTATTCTCTTTAGAGGTCGTTGGTTTGAGTAACTGTATCTATAGGATGTATATATGTTATCAATAACTATAAAGGAAATTATAAACATATATTATCTTATAATCATCTTAGATTATTAGAAAAAACACATTCATAGTTAGAGTGATAATGTGGATGCCAATCAGGTCGGAAAAGTGTACACGTTGCTAAAATGTAAAAAGAAAAGAAAAGATATGAGGTTGATTTTATGCGACCGAACCTACAGCATCTGCACTTGTCAATTTGTGATGCAAGAAAAGGAGTTAAATGCTCGCACACAATTATGTGCTCACATCACCATTTACCACCACCTTCCCCACTTTTCTTTCGTATAAAACCCCCCTCTCCTTTTGGCATTCCATAAGAGAGTGTGCCACAAAAGAGAGCTATAGGGTACCTTCCCCTTCCCTCTCTGCAATTTTCTTTTGTTAAATAAGGGAGATATGGCCTTAATGGGAGACCACCATACATTGGCAGTCGTTTTTGGTGTCTTAGGTAATGCTAATATGCTCTTTTTATCCTTCTCTTCTTGAACTAATCAGATTCTTTATTTTTCATGAAACATTTATATTTAAGGCGAGTGTTCTCCTCATGAATATAAGACAAACTTTAAAAATCTCAAAATATATACTCGTATTTGACATTCACACTAGATAGGTTTTAATATTTTCCTTTTTAGTCATTTTCCTTGTATCCCAAGTAATGTAAATGTAGTCTTAAAAAATCACTCACGACACCACAACCGTATATACCACCTTAAATTTTTTTCATTATTTTCTTCTCATTTAGTTCTCTATTTTTCATTATTTTCGTCTTTCATCCAATGACGGATGCACATAGCTTTTTAGGCTAGGAACGTGCCCACCTAAAAAATTGAATTTCCTTTACTTAGTTGTTTATTTTATTAGTTGTATTCACTCTGAAATGATTTTATTTGTGCTCATCTCACATATAAAAATTTTGTATTATTAATTATATATGTTCACTCTAAAAAGAATATTTCTGAACCACCTCTACGTAGTTTAGTTTCAGTTACAACTTTGGTTAAGTTGCAAAAGAAAATAATGCAGAACATGTTATTTTTTTGTTTCACTATTTTCGGCTTAGACAAAATGTCTGTATCAGAATTGGCTCCAATTTGTACCTAATAATTGCATTAATTTAATGATTAGTTATACGTTGTTTTTTTTTTAACAAAAATGAAAAATTATACATTAAATGTTATATTTTGCTTTCAATAATTTAACGATGATCCACCTAAATGATGGCAGGTAACTTCATCTCAGTCCTTGTATTTCTGGCACCACTGTAAGCATAGATCTTCACCTTCTTCATGTCTCAAAACCAATCATAACAATAATGATGAAAGTAACCCTTTTTTCTGTATGATGGCAGACCAACATTCTACCGGATTTTCAAGAAAAAATCGACGGAAAGTTTCCAGTCGCTGCCGTACCAGGTGGCATTGTTCAGTTGCATGCTGTGGCTGTACTATGCGTTGATTAAAAAGGGTGCTTTCCTCCTCATCACCATCAACTCATTCGGATGCGTTGTGGAGACGGTTTACATATCTATGTACTTAGCTTATGCTTCAAAGGATAGCAGGGTGAGTAAATATTATATGTATATAATTTCCTTAAGTTCGTAATCTTAACATAAAATCATACATCAGTTCTTGTACGTGTGAAAATTTGCAGAAGTCTGCCATGAAACTTTTTGTAGCAATGAACGTGGTGATCTTCTCCTTTATTCTCATCCTCACACACTTTCTGCTCGAGAGTTCGATTCGTGTCCCGGTTCTTGGCTGGATTTGTGTTGCCATCTCTGTATCAGTCTTTGCAGCACCCTTGAATATCATGGTGAGTATCCATTTTCCTTTTTTTCTTCTTAATTGCGGATTAATTAATTTAATATGATTTTTATTTTCCATTGTTGCTGCAGGCAAGAGTTGTTCGAACAAAGAGCGTTGAGTTCATGCCTTTCAACTTATCATTCTTCCTCACACTGAGTGCAGTCATGTGGTTCTCCTACGGACTATTCATTAAAGACCTTTGCGTAGCTGTAAGTCAATTTCCTTCTCCATGTAGGACACTGTCAAGGGACACACCCTTCACTTGAGGCCACTAATTTTATTGTTTGCCATTGTGAAAATCGACAGCTCCCTAACGTACTAGGCTTCATACTGGGGATGCTCCAGATGATTCTATACGCAATCTACAAACACAGCGAAAGGGCAACTGTCAAGGATCAGAAGAAGCTTCCAGAGCAAACGAAAAGCATCGTCGTCCTCGGCACATTAAGCGCCTCTGAAGTTCATCCCGTAGCTTTAGACATTCAACATGCTGATAAAGAACCAGTGGCTGCAGATTCGAATGAATGTCCAGTTTGAAATAAACACACACTGATCATCGAACACTGTACCCTTTATTTTGAAGAAGATGACTACATATATGAATATATAATAGAGACGTGCTGTGTTTTTCAGTTTCCATGTTGAAATAATCTTTGTAGTTATTGTTTTGAAATGCAAACCATGAATTGTTCTGGGCATTTATTTTCCATTTGTAGAGTATCGTGTTGACGAGGAAAGATGAATGAATTGGAACTACTGGTGGGTTTTCACACTGATCGGGATCGTATTAAATTGCTTTCCAGCTCTGACAGGGCAAAGCTAACGAACTGTGTGGTTGTAATCTTTTCGTTCATTAATTATCAACAAGACACTGCTGGAAGAGAGGAGAAAGGAAACATGCATCCTTCTTCTTCCAGTTGGATATGACAGATATTTTAGCAGCTCCATTTCTCTATTTTAAATTCAAACACTAAGAATATTAAAGATATTAATATTCAATGTCAAAATGATTAAAAATATCTTTAAATATTTACCATCTTATTCTTGTTTTCGTCCCAAATTAATAAAAATGAATAAAAGAAACGAGTTCCAAAAGAGATTCTGCATTTTCCCTCTCACATTCAAACTACTCAATAACTTATTTGCTTGACGTAAGCAAAATACCCACCATTAGTTAAAACATTGTGCAACACTATCAATATGACTATATTGTATGAATTAATTGCATCAAATACCTTCAAAGCATGACATTTATTTTAAATTAGTCCCTAAATTTTTAAATATTTTAATTTTATCTCTAATTTATTACTATCATTTTAAATTAGTCCAAAAACTTTTGAATATTTCAATTTCATCCCCAAACTATGACCTTCATTCTAAATTGGTCCCTGAACTTTTTGAACATTCCAATTTCATCCCAAACTATACATATATACTAATCACATCCCTTGTTAATAAAATTGTTAGGCCAAGTTATATTATTATATGTTTGAAATTATGGTTGAAACTAATTACATATTTGGATGAATTTGGGATGAAATTGGAATATTTAATGTTTGGGGACTAATGTAGAAGATGGTCATAATAGTTTAGGGATGAAATTAGAATGTTCAGAAGTTTAAAGACTAATTTAAAATGTGATTCATGATTTGGGAATAAAATTAGAATATTCAAAAGTTTAAAGATCAATTTAAAATAGAAGTTATAGTTTGCGGACATATGAGGTAATTAACTCATATCATATTTGAATTCATCATGTAACCTCAATAGTAAAAAGGAGGAATTGGTTTTTTTAAATAATGAAATTCGAGCAACTATATCATTTGGGTATGTACATATCATTAATGATTAATATTTTTTTTTTGAACATATGTTACCTTATAATCTCTTGTACTATTAAAAAATCATACTTCTAAAGTTTTCTAAATAAATTATATATAATTTTGATCTAGTGTATATTTTTGACATATAAATTCTGGTTGTGTATAATTATATATTTATAGCATATACAAATAATTATATTCATCATAATTTGATATATTATTTTATTGTGTAAAATTAAATCAATTAAAAAATTTTATATACATTACCAACAGAGATTAGTTCAAGTGATAAGCAATTTGATATCGCTTAACTAAAGTTTCATGTTCGAGTCTTTGTGTATACAGAAAATCTCTACTAAGAGACTCATCTATTAAAACCAAGTGTGCGATCCAAGTCGATCCAGATTAATGAAGGAAAAACCTTAGAACTGAAGGAAAACAAAAACAAATCTTATATACATTTAAACCACAACGAATATACACTAAAACAAAATTTATATATCAAAAGGTTGGGTAGTAATTCAAGTGTAAATTTATTACTTCTCCAATCATTTTTTTCATCTTTCATTATTCAAGTTATATAAAATCCCATAAAATTTTAACCTCTATGAGAAAAAAACCATCAAATATGAGTGAATCCCACATTTAAATTACCCAGAAAAGACTGCTGAATGAACATAGTTAAACACAAAATTTGTTGAAATGGCCTCAATTAGTTGGTAAAAATGTCTCTGTGTACCGAAGATGAATACAACATATAAAATACCATGGAAAAGTTCCGTACAAGTCCAGAGCAAGGAGGACAATATTAACTCCCAAAATTTTATGAAAAAAGCTGTGTTTTTCTAATTCATTCTCATGCTCTTCTGGTTCATGATAATGTACACTCCATTTGTTCATTGTTCTTTCCATCATCATCGTCATCATCTTTTTCTATGCTTCATTGAAAGGAAAGGAAAGGAAAGCATGCCAAGCTTTTTGGATGAACCATGCACAAGAAAGAAATGTTTCTTCACCTCGTCGAGTCGGAAAAGGTGGATAAACGGTGCTAAAAGGAGACTACAAAGTTTATCCGGGAACAGTATACTAGCCATTAGTCCCATCGAAACTACCATGACCATTTTGTTGCCTTTTTTCTCTCAAATTCTCTCCCCACATCTTGGCCTCAGCCACAGCTCTTTCCCGTTCTAAATCCCTATTCAACATCCTGGCAGTTTCTCTGGGGGAGTCCTCCTTCTCGAACCCTTCCAAATCCCACCTACGGCCAGATGATACTCCTTCATCGTTCTTTGATACCCTTCCTCCTCTGTCATCTCTGTGTCTTTTATCATCCTTGTCTCCAGAACCTCGGTAGCCATACCCTGCTGCATTAGGATCGTAGAGGACGTGTGGCAGCCTCCTCCTGAGTGCACATAGAGGCCACAGCTAGAGCTTGGTAAAGACCTCGCATTGGATATCGTCCTTGCAATCTTGGATCTGCCAATTTTGAAAATTTGCAACGGTCGTTGAACAATGAACGTGCCTGCACATTAATTAAAAAAATATAAACTATTACATAGTCTCAGCCATGGCTTGCTACACAGGCCAACCCAAACTACAAAAGCACTTCAAATGCATTACCCATGTAACAAGGTTTTGTTCTCCATGGGGCCGTGCGCTATCAATAGCTTTCCGTCCAGTAATTAGCTCTACGAAGACAACGCCAAAACTATAAACATCAGATTTTACTGTCAATTGACCCGTCATAGCATACTCGGGAGCACAATAGCCATATGTGCCCATAACTCTGGTTGAAACATGTGATTTATCTCCTGTCGGACCAAGCTTCGCAAGCCCAAAATCAGATAACTGACACCTGTAGAACACATGCAAAATATGGCCGAGGGCATGAGACGGTAAAACCTGTGTATATCCATTTGTGTTAACTAAAAATCTGAGTTTATCCAACAATGAGGTGTGACTATCATCTGTATGTTATTGGTAGTAAAGGGCTAAAGTCGAACATTCTGAAGCCTCCCGACTACTAAAAGCATAAGACGGCTTGCTAGAGAACCACAAAACAGATCCATTATGAGAACGATGTGATTCATAGTTCAGTATCAGTTCCGAGATTAATTAGACTTATATATTTATGCTAAAAGGGGGGCCATAACCTACAAATAAGAGAAGGAACTACAGATGCTGGGATTCAAATCCTTAAGACTTTTGGATGCCAACTCAGCTAAGCTTCGGGTTTATAATTCGGCTTAGTTCAATATTATAACCGGTAAGATTCCGAAGTGAAAATAGGGTTTGGAAAACCACAATGAAAATCCACCAGTTTAGTCCAGACTTAGTTTAGAAAGAGTGAAAAGAAGAAGTTGCATTGGGTAGGTTGGAACAAGATTTGTATTCCGATAAGTGGTGGAGGTTTGGGAGTTGCTGATTTGAATCTTACTAAATGAGCTTTGTTGGGAAAGTGGGTTTGGAAGTTTGCTAATGAGAAGCATTCGATATGGAAGAGATTCGTTTGTACCAAACACAATGTTAGCAGCCATTCTATGGATATTTCCAAGGTCCACTCTCCCAAGGACTCTTGGATTTGGAGGGGAATTGTGAATAACTTCACCAAAGATGATTCTATTGGAGGTTGCCTTAGATCCCAAGCTAAGTTACAAGTAGGGAATGGCATTTCGATTTCCTTTTGGAATGATGTATGGTCAGGGATTTACCTTTGAAAGTCCTTTTCCCTAGGATTTATGCGCTATCTTCAAACAAAATGGGTAATGTTGCAGATTTTGGTAGTTTTGATTCGAATGGTTGGGAGTGGAATATAAAGACTAGAAGGAATCTTTGCAATTGGGAAGGAGATCAGTTGGTAGAGCTTCTGGATTTACTTAAAGACATTAAATTAATTGATTCAGTGGAGGATTGTTTACTTTGGGGCAATGCAGGTGAGGGGCTGTTTTCGGTTAAGGAGTGCAGGAAGTCTCTTTCAGCTTATAAAGATGTTTCTTTTCAGTGGAATAAATGTGTGTGGTTGGGTTTAGTCCCTCCTAGGATCGAGGCTTTCCTTTGGCAAGTATCTCATAAAAAAGTTACAGTGAAAGTGGAATTGAAGAAAAGGGGGTTCCAATTGGGGATGATTTTCTATGCCCTCTATGCAATTCATGTGAAGAATCTGTTCAGCATCTTTTTATTGCTTGCCAGGTTTCGTGGGACTTATGGAACAGAGTAATTGCCTTTTGGGGTATTTTGTCAGTTTTACCAGGTGATCCACAATCCCTTCTAAGCTCTTGGTCTGATTTGAGGCCTTATTCAACTATGTGGAAGTTAATTCCAGGGGAAGTCTTATGGTCGATTTGGAAAATCAGAAATGAAATAATTTTTGAAAAAGTTAAACTAGACAGGTTCACGTTGTTCTTCACTGTTCGATTCAGATTAGCAAAATGGTTCCTAGCAAAGTTTTCGAATTTCTCTACTCAGGTGGATTGTTTGATTGGTGATCCTTCACTGGCTGATGATCTTTCGGTTTTTAAGGAGTTGAATACGCCTAAGGTATGTTGGACTCCTCCTCCTATTGATTTTTATAAGATGAATGTGGATGGAGCAGTTAGTAGAACCGGGATGAGTGTTGGTATTGGGGGTTTCATGCGAGATTGGAATCGATCTGAGCTTATTTCCTTTTCACAGAATGTTGGTCCTAATCCTATCATTCTAGCAGAATTGAAAGCTATCAAGAAAGGCATTGAAGTCTTTGTCGCCTCGGTTTGGGTTTCGAAGGGGAGATTGATTGTGGAAAGTGACAACAAGCAAGTAGTGGATTGGATTCTTGATCAAGCCACAGTTCCTACATTCCTAAGTCAGTTTGTTAAGGACTTAATGTCTGTTGTATCTTTGCATAATATTATTGTGAGGTGGATTCCTAGGAGCTGTAACTGCGAGGCTAACAAAATAGCTAAGG